AAGTCCACCAAGGTCACCAGTCTCCTTTACTTGACCAACATGATATATATATTTTTTTGTCAATTTATTGAACATGTCAGAAACCAAAACATACAACAATAATATATATATTCTCTTTTTTTTCTCACTCAAATTAATAATTATAACAAAGTACAACAAAAAAACATTAAAAAAAACAAACAAACAAAAAAAAACAATAATAATTCTCAAATAGTCTCTGTCATGTTCAACAGGGGCAAGATTAAGCTTAAAAAAACGTTTCTGGTCCTACCCCCTCTAGCATATATTTTTCTTATAAATAAAACATTAGGTCATCGTCATCAGCGACATGTTTGTCTTGTTAATTTGTTTGCTTTTTGTTTTTTTACAAAACAATCAGAAATAAATTACTTTTACAATTACAAGAAATAACAACAAATGGGATTTTACAGGTCCTGTTCATAACCATTAATGATTTGGCTCCTAAATAATACTTTCAGTTTAGATAGACTTGTACAATATTTCAGTGCATCATTACAGTTATTCCACAGACTAACACCTTTTGATGAGATGCAATGAACTTTGGCATTTGTTCGTACGGGTGGTTTTTTGAAAATGCAGTTTCCTCTCAATATGTGCATGCTTTCTCTCCGTGTGAAAAGTCCCTGGATATTATGAGGTAATTGTTGATTTGCGGCTTTGAACATCATTTGAATAGTTTTATAGTCAACCAGGTCTTGTAGTTTTAGTGTTTTTAGTTTGATGAATAATTTATTTGTAGGTTCTCTGTACGTAGTTTTATGTATAACTCGTATGGCTCTTTTTTGCAGGATGAAGATAGGATGTGTATTTGTTTTATATGTGTTCCCCCAAACTTCCACACAATACATCATGTATGGAAGTATGAAGGAGCAGTACAGCATAAACAAAGAAGCTTGATTAATTAGGTATTTGGCTTTATTCAGAATTGCTATTGATTTGGATATTTTGGCTTTGATATAGCTTATATGTGGTTTCCAACTTAATTTATTGTCTATGATTACTCCAAGGAATTTTATTTCCGATACACTTTCTAATTGGACGCCATTTATAGTGAGTTTCTTCTCTGTATTGGTCGATCGATTCCCGATTGAGTTTGGTTTTGCTTGCGTTCAATGTTCAGATCTTCATCCTGCTCAGTTCCTTCTCCATTGTGACCAATAGCTGTTCTAAATTGTCCTCACAGCAGAGTAGACTTGTGTCGTCTGCAAAAAAGAATGGTTTTAATAGTTTTTGATACTTCACATGTATTGTTAATATACAGAATAAATAGTAATGGCCCCAAGACTGAGCCCTGAGGCACCCCACATGTAACCTGCAGTAGTTGTGATTTATGGCTTTGTAGTTCAACGTACAAATCTGCCATACAAACCTGCAATTTCTAGGTAAAATCATTGAAAAAGTTGTTTTTCAACAGTTGAGTAATTTCTTGCATTTAAATAGTTGTTTCGATGTGTTCCAGTCAGGCTTTCGTCCAAACCACAGCACTGAGACTGCTCTTGTAAAGGTCTTCAATTACATCCACTTAAACACAGACAGTGGCAGAACTTCAGTGTTAGTATTATTAGATCTCAGTGCTGCGTTTGACACTGTTGACCACAACATATTACTCGACCGACTAGAAAACTGGGTGGGACTTTCATCAACAGTTCTAAATTGGTTTGAATCCTTAAAGGACAGAAAAAACTTTGTTTCTATAGGTAAATACACATCTGAGTTGACAAATATGACATGTGGGGTACCTCAAGGCTCCATATTGGGGCCTCTTCTCTTTAACATCTACATGCTACCACTGGCTCAGATAATGAAAAACAACAAAATAAGTTACCATAGCTATGCGGATGACACACACATTTACATAACAATTTCACCAGGAGACTATGCTCCAATTCAAACACTGAGTAAGTGCATTGAACAAATCAATGACTGGATGTGTCAGAACTTTCTCCAATTAAACAAAGATAAAACTGAGGTAATGGTTTTTGGAGCCAAGGCAGAACGTATAAAAGTTAGCGCTGAGCTTCAGTGTGCAATGTTCAAAACAACAGATAAAGCCAGAAATCTAGGTGTAGTCATGGACTCTGACCTGAGTTTCAACAGTCACATTAAAACAGTTACTAAATCAGCCTACTATCACCTAAAGAACATATCTAGGATGAAAAGACTAATGTCACAGCAGGATTTGGAAAAACTTGTCCATGCTTTTATCTTCAGTAGACTGGACTACTGTAATGGTGTCTTTACAGGTCTCACTAAAAAATCTATTAGGAAGCTGCAGCTGATTCAGAACGCCGCTGCTCGAGTCCTCACTAACACTAAGAAAGTGGATCACATCACTCCTGTTCTGAAGTCTTTACACTGGCTTCCTGTGTGTCAAAGAATAGATTTCAAAATACTGCTGCTGGTTTATAAAGCACTGAATGGTTTAGGCCCAAAATACATTTCTGACCTACTGCTAAATTATGAACCATCCAGATCTCTCAGGTCTTCAGGGACTGGTCAGCTTTCTGTCCCCAAAGTCAGAACTAAACATGGTAAAGCAGCGTTCAGTTATTATGCTCCAAATATCTGGAACAAACTCCCAGAAACCTGCAGGTCCGCTGCAACTCTGACTACTTTTAAATCCAGGCTGAAGACTTTTCTTTTTGTCGCTGCTTTTAATTGAACTATTTACATCTTAAACTGCACTGTAACTTTTATCCATGTATTTTTTCTTTTAATGTTTATTTTATTATCTTTTCTTTTTAATGACTGATTTTAAATGCCATTTTCTTAATGTCTTTCGTTTTTTGTAAAGCACTTTGAATTGCCTTGTGTTGAAAGGTGCTATATAAATAAACTTGCCTTGCCTTGCCTTGCCTTACTGTTCCCTGTTATGTAGGTAGCTGGATAGCCATGATAGTGCAACACCTCTAATGCCATCTCTGTAGTTTTTTAATTAATAATTCATGGTCAAACGTGTCAAATGCTTTTTTAAGGTCCATAAATATCCCTATTGCATATTCTTTCTTTTCTATTGCCTTAGTAATGTGTTCCATACATTCTATAACTGCAAATGATGTGGTTCTGTTAGCTCTGAAACCATATTGTTGTTCATAGAGTATTTTATGTTTGGTGATGAAGTCATTTAGTCTTGTATAGTAGATTTTTCTCAGTATTTTAGAAAACTGTGAGAGCAATGAAATTGGTCTATAGTTTGACAGTACATGTTTATCTCCAGATTTATGTATTGGTATGACTTTAGCAGTTTTCATTTTATTTGGAAATACACCGGTTTGTATTGACTGATTACAGATGTGAGTTAGTGGTTTGGCTATACATTCAATAATGTTTTTAACTGTATACATGTCAATATCATGACAGTCTGTAGACCTTTTACTCTTAAGTTTTTTAACTGTGTCAATCATTTCATTTTCATCAGTCCCTCTTAAGAATATAGTTTCCTTCACATATATATCTTTACTTTCAACACCATCACTACAACCAGTATTTGGAATTTCCCCAGCTAGACAAGGACCAACATTGACAAAGTACTTATTGAAATCTTCAGCAACTGAGGTCATGTCATAAATTACTGTATCGTTTTTTGACAGAAAACTGTTTGGGTATTGTTCCTTTCCATTTCCTTTTTTAATAATGGTATTTAATACATTCCATGTGTTTTTAATGTGATTTTTGTTATCCTCCAATCATTTGTTGTAATGATCCATTTAGCTACATCGTATTATCTTTGTTAGTTTGTTTTTGTATGTCTTGTATTTTTGTTCAGCCTCTACTGATCCATTCTTTAAGAAGTCTTTATATAATTCATTTTTCGTTTTACATGCATTTAATATTCCCTTAGTGATCCATGGTTTTTCAGCATATTTTTGTTTCACTATTTTCTTTACACGAGGACAATGTTTTTCATACAGCCCTGATAGAATATGTAGAAATGATTCATAGGCTTCATTTATATCTGGTACATACATTTTGTTCCAGTCTTGTTTAGATAATTCTTCTTTCAAATAATTAACAGACTCTTCTGGTGTCTTTTTTGATCCTACAGTTCAGTATCGTTGCAAAGACTGGCAGGTGATCACTTGTGTCATTTATTAATATTCCACTTATTACTTTCCTATCCATAACATTTGTGAATATGTTGTCAATGAGTGTTGCACTGTGTGATGTTATTCTGGTTGGTCGTGTGATTGTAGGATATAAACTGTTGCTATACATAGAATTAATAAATTCTGTAGTTGCATTGTGTTCTTGTGGGTTCAGCAAATCAATGTTAAAATCTCCACATACAAAGAACATTTTCTTGCTGCTTGTGTAGTTATAAAGTTCAGCTAGATTTTTCTCAAATGTGTCAATACATGATCCTGGTTATCAAAAGGTTTTTAGATTTTTTTCATTTCAATTTCTACTGTTATGCATTCCATAATGTTGTCTATAGCGAAAGACATATTACTGACAGATCTACTTTTGTAACTTTTGTTAATATAAAGTGCAGTCCCCCCACCTTTAGAATGTGTCCTATTAGTAAACAACATGTTGTATCCCTCGATTTCAACCATGTCAGCTTGCTCCTCACTAAGCTAGGTCTCTGATATTGCTAGGGCTGTAACTGATATGATATATCATATCAAGCAAAGGATGAGGATAAGGATAAAAGACAGTTTCTTCCGATACTGTGAATAGTGTCACATTTATTACATCTTGGTTTTAAACACTGTATAGCTCTTTTCATTGTAAATTCATATTTTACATACATTATTCTTGACTCTTGTCATACATGTTTTCGCTTACTATTTTTACGAAATAGTTTTCCTTCATTTCATTTTAAAATAAGAGACACACAATGAATCATTTTAAGCAAAAGGAAAAATATCTCTACAATGTAATCGCAGATGTTTCACACTGTTTTAAGATTGACTCCATCGGGGCTTTATTGTGAAAGTTCCGACCGGAAGTTTGAATTATCGTCTTGTTAGCTTGACAATGGTTCTTCGTTCCCAGGGTTCCGTGAGAGCCGTTTGCCCCACCCCACCTCTTCAACGCTATCTATCTCAATGTTCAATCCTCAGAGAGAAAAGGGGGCAAAAATAATTCAGAGTAACACCGCAAAGAAACGATTCTGCTCTCCCCGGCCGGTCCACCGGAGCCGACGCGGCCTCTCGGCGGTTAAAGGTAAACGTCTTGGACAGTGACTGAGAGCACCGCGGTGTGTTCATGTATCATGCACATGTAACCATAATCTGCCGTACGGATTCAAAGGGAATACACAAACCTGAGAGACTTGACAGCGGGCTGTTCCTGCGCCAAACAAGGAAATAACGGAGGCTTTTTTCCACCAGTATCACCTGGATATCGCGTTATATTCAAGGACATCCGACTGCCAAAAACCAATCGCCTTTGCTTCCCGATGTGAGGAGAAATACAAATTAACGTGACAGAGAGAAAAAGGACGAAGAAGGGGCCTCTTTTCTTCTGGGGTCTGGTCAAACCCTCCGAAAAAAAGCAAAGCACCAGCATCTGTGGACGGGGAGAGGAAATAATTTCGGCTAAAAACAAGATATTATTGATATCAACCCCCCCAGCTCCCAAAAAAACGGTGTATTCCTGACGAGTTGTGATAGAGAAAGAAGCCCCGGTGTAGCCTGATGATTCACATGCCGTCATTTTAAGAGGAAATATTTATTTTTTATTTGTTTCCCACCCGCCCTCTGATGTGCTTTGGTTAGTTGGATTGCAAACAACATTTACAAAAATACACATTTAAATCATAGAGATAAATAGTGTTGTGTGTGGAAAAGGATTGAATGGCAGTGTGAGATATCTGCCGAAGATGGGCTCCAGAGGAGACATTTGCTAAGAAATCTAAACATATACGTTGAAAACAGCTATAAGGAAACCGGACCACCGACGTTCATGCGTGTACATTACAGGGCTGGAAAATTCACATCCACTCTCTCATATCAATGTTGATGACTTCATTGCTGATTTACAGTGAAAAACACAGGAATCAAGCGACTGAGAGGGCGGCATCGTTGCTCTGCTGCTTTTTATATGTAGTGATCTCCTGCCAGTAAATAGCCACATCCATCGGATACATATTGTGCCAAAGCCTGGTGGAGCTCACCGTCTACTACCTAACATCTTCTTTCATCTGGCAACATAAATGTCACCCATTTTGAGCCAGGTGTTTCTCTGTTGGGCCAGTCTAGGAATTTAGGATTGATTAATTTTCTCCTGATCAACACCCTCCCTCCTTCCTCCCTTCCTACACCTACCTACCAAAACACCCACCCTGCCTCCCCCTGAACCTATCACTGGGTTTTTTTGGGAAGATGGGCTGTCTTGGCAATAGTAAGACTGAAGACCAACGAAATGAGGAGAAGGCACAGAGGGAAGCCAACAAAAAGATAGAGAAGCAGCTCCAAAAAGACAAACAGATATACCGGGCCACTCACCGGCTACTACTATTAGGTAGGTTCTCTAAAATATCATCATTATTGCATATGTGTCTGTTCAATATTTGTCCCATTTTGTACCCAATTGTTGCACCCACACAGAAGAAAACACCTGTTTCAATACAAATGTAACCACTGATGTAACCATGTAAATACAAAAACATGTTTCTCAGCCTATGACACTATATGATGCAATGACATGATGTCTCTACACCAGGTTTTTACACTGTCTTGACACAGGGCAGTTGAAAAGCAGGCCTGTCTGGTGCATTCATGGCTTCTCATGGAGAATAGAACATGTGAGAGATGGTGGACAGACAGACAGTATTTGTGTAAAGGCAGCATGGAGGTCACACTAATAAACATTTTTAGATATACTGGACACTCAGCACATGGCAAAATGTGTGTTAGTGTATATTCACCTTGAGTCATTAAGTTTTATACTTAGGCTCCATTTTTGGTGCTGTTTGTCACACTCTATGCTCACCTTTTCGCATAATCCTCTCCTCACTAGCTATTCTGAAAATGGATATTCTAATCAGTCGTTGAAAAAAGTCTATTTTTTATTTGATGATGCTATTTCTGGCTTTATCATCCAGGCCTCCATGTCATCATGATACAGTCTGAACCTCAAGGCCAGGGCTAGTATCCTGCCAAGCCCCTTTCAGTACGAGAGCAAATTAGGATTACTAGCTTCCCTTTAAACACTGTCCTGCTCTTTCTAATCTGAAATGGATCCTTGATTTGTACACTTGCACTCGTGCTCTAAATGGCAGGGCTGCAGCCTAGTTCCTTGTTTCCAGGAGATGTTATGGCCTGGCTTCTTTCAATTTAAGTTTGTTAGGACAATGTGTTTTCCATTGTGAACATGCATGTCCGTATTTTATAATGCCATCATTTTAGAAAATTACATCTTCTCTATTCTTAAAATGATTTATTAGGGCTTGATGATATCTTACTTCTCCTCAATAAAACAAATTTAAAATAGAGCTAATGTATCTCTGATTAGTCCTGAATGCAGTGGTAAAGAAGATCCTTTACCTCCATAAGAGTACAGATACAACATTGTTCAATTAACCTCTAATGTCTAAGTGAAAGTGTAGACTTATTATCACCAAAATGTTCTTAAAGTGGCAGTAGACAACTCTCCCTCACTGCAACGAGACACAACCACTAAGCTTTATGCCACCGATGTTAGATGATGTCACCAAAGTGCAAAAAGGCATATAATAGCTACATTTAGCGACTTTTGGAGCAAGTGTAGAGTGTTACTTTCTTTGTTAGATCAACTCTTCCTTTTCCCGGGTTATTGTACGGGTTAGCAAACAGAATTACGTAGTGAGAGCGAGGCTTATAAGCACCCAAACTAGACAAAGAAGGACTCATTAATGTATAGATATGACATTGTGCAAAAAACATTTACCCTGTAATAAGATAAAGCAAAAAAAATGTGCCTATATCCACTATAACGTTTTTGTTTTAAATCCCACTTTGAGAAATGTGACATTCACGCACTGCTACGAAAGTTGGGAACTAGTTGTTTAATATTCACCAATTTCTTGTATTTCATAAGCTTACCATGTTCAACCTTTATCTGAAGAGTATCTGCAGCATAAACTTTCACAAATCTGGCGATACGCTTCAAACAATCATCGTCTAGTTTCAGATGGATCTCCATTATTGATGTTTTAGTTTGGGCCCTTTGAAGGAGTTTGTTCACCTCTTGATAAACATCTCGGACTTATTTTCCTTTCTTTCTGCTTTCAGGGGCCGGTGAATCCGGGAAAAGCACGATAGTCAAACAGATGCGAATATTGCACGTCAATGGCTTCAACGCAGAGTAAGTGGTTTCCCTCCATGTTTTATTTGACACATATATTTCATCGTTAAACTAGTTAATTATTGGGGGTGATTGGGTGACTCGGATATGTATATACTTGTTGCCCAAATACCTTGATAAAGTGATGATGTTTTGGGTATCTTGCATTGACAAGTGATAGGAAGGTTGATAGATACTCAAATGGACCTGCATGCAAAGTTAGTTTAGAGCTTGGTTCCCAACAAGGTGGAACATTATCTCTTTGTTAATTGTAATTTATTGTAATCGACATCTGGACAAAGTATAACAACAACATGACTTTTAAAAGCAATTACTGGAAAATAATGTATTATTTTCAATTAATTGCCAGTATTTTTGATAATTGATAATCAGGAAATATTCTCTGGTTGCAGCTTCTCAAATGTGAGGATTCACTGTTCTCAGTTGCTTTCTATTGTATCTATTTAGCTGAAATCACAGTAAACAAAATGTCTTTCATTTTCGATTGTTGGTAAAAAAACAAACAAGATATTTATGATGAAATTATGATGGGCTTTTTTTTATGAATTTCCAATATTATGTAGACTAAATTACTATTTGACAAAAAAATAATAATAAAAGTATCACCGTTGTTGAACATTTTCATGTTCTGTACTGATTGTCGAACATACACACATTTTAAAGTATTTTATATGAAACTTTAAAAGTGCTATCAGTTGTCAGTACAACAAAGAAAAATAGAAATACTTTCCTGCGATATAAACGAGCAACTTTTATCCTCAGCCAGAGAGAATAAAAGTACATTGCCTCTTATTGTTTAACGGGACATTGATATAGATTTCTACTGATTATTCATGGAACATTGCCCTGGGCTTTTTAAAGCCGCCCTGTTTTGTGAATTTCCTAAAACTCAATCCCTAGTTGATGCAAAGGAAACAATAGTCACGTTTTTCTAATCTTAATCATCGCTTTCCTAGAAAGATTTTTTTGGGTATGAGCATCATCGTGTGATTATTTTTGGGTCATGGCGAACACATGCTCCTCACAGATGCTCTCCTATAATGACAAATCCACAGTCAGCCCCCCCCCCTAGCTTTACAGTAGCTCCGGGGGTTTTGTTTCTCTCTTTGGGCCGAAGGAGTTCCCCTGGCCAGGTTTCCCCTCCCAGTGCAAGGTGCTGGGAGGATGAGGAAGATGAGGAGGGGGAGTTAAATGGGAGGGATGAGGGTGAGAACGGCAGTGTGAGGAATGTAGTCTTACTCTCTCTCCGTCAGTCTGAGAAAAGCAACAAGGAGCCAAGGGAATCTCCATGAATCCACTCTTCCAAAGTTCAAACTTCTCCTTGAGGGAATAATCAGATTCTAATCAGTTCTTAGCCATTTTCTTCCAAAATCAAACATGTTAAGGAGGTATCACTAGTTCCCCTGACTTAAGAACGTTTTTCAGTGTAGCCAGAACAAACTAAAATGGCACAAGGAGAGCACAGACGTTTTGATCCGCTGTAAAAAGGTATCCGTTCTTTCACACTACAACTTTTGCCAAGTTTCATTCAAATCGGACCAGTAGTTTTCCCATAATGTTGGTAACAAACATACAGTCATTATAAGTTTAACATATAACATTTTATAATAAGTACATCGTTGTACATGCTAAAAACCAGAACACCACGTTTTAATTTATCTGTGCATCTCTATTTATTGTGAGAAAAATACATATTGTAAAATAGGGTTTCCGGTAACAATTCATTTAATTATTGGTAAATCTACTGTTTATTGTATTTACTTATTAATCACTTGGTTTATAAAATATGGAAGAGGCCCTTCATAGCTTCCTGGATCGCAAGGTGACATCCGCAGTTGTTGCTTGTTTTCTCTGACCAGCAAAAATATTCACGTAGAAAGGGAAAATAAATTCACATTGGAGAAGCGGCAATTATTATCAAAATATTTTCTATTTACATTTTGATAAACCAACAAAACCTTTGTCTAAAAAGGTTCCTTTTTGAAGAGTTTATCCCAAAACAATGCAGCAAAATTATCAGATTGATAAGTGAATTCTGATTATAACGACCAGAGCAAAGTAATATATATTAGATAAAGGAGTTGCTTTCTGTGAAACTGGACTTTTAAGCTCTGTCAAATGACAGATTTTCTGTTGCATTTAGATTATTCTATCCTCGTGATTATTGATAATTCTGACATTTTAAAGTTTTAAATGTCTTCTGTAATTAAAGCACCACTAGTAATTACAGAAATATATGTTAAATGTTTTAATTTGATGGTACTTGGTTATTAATAAGGACTCTGTAATTATCATCCAATAATAAGTTACAGTAAAAAAGGAACAATATAAAAGAAGGGTTTAAAATATACAACAATAAATGGACAACAACATTTCATTGTATTTGCTAAAGCTTTGAATCATACTTTGTGCTCATAGTAGATTGTAGTTAATATTAGACTTCAAAACACCTAAAATGTCCCTTTTTAAAGTGCATGTTTTCCTCCACACCCCCACTCTGTTTCATAAATGCTGTTCTCCTTTGGTATTAGATAAAAATATGATTTTTCCTGAACAGATGCATGATCCATATTAGTAACTGAAATAATATATACCTATTACCATTGATAATAATAATGTTTAATTAGAATTGATCAAAGTCATGAACTGTGTTGACTGTTAACATTGAATCACGTTGAATAAAGTTGAAACATTCTTTCAATTTATGCTTTTGTATAAATAAAACAAACGTCTTTGTTCTTCACAGGGAGAAAAAACAGAAAATCCATGATATTAAAAACAACATTAAAGAAGCTATAGAGGTAAGTCATTGATCTTTTGATTCCTTTTAAATGATTTGTACAAATATGTTCTGCCAGATTGGGAAGAATGATGAGGGTTAGTTACTGTTTTAAAAAGTATGAAACAAGACTGACACAAAAGTGAATTCCTGGAGTTCACAATGTAATGTGTTTGCCTCAAAGTCATAATAAATCATTGTATTAAGTTTGGTTCTTCTTCTCTCCATTCAGACGATCATTGCTGCCATGATCACGCTCACACCGCCATGCAAGTTAGCCTGTCCTGCAAACCAGTCCCGAATCGAGTATGTCATGCACCAAGTCAACCGGAAGGATTTTGAGTTTCCTTCAGTAAGTTTCACTTGACCTCCTTGGGATCTATCCACTCTGACGTCTGTACTAGTTTGTCTGTGACATTTGACAGTAAAAACCTTGTTAGTCTAATGTCATCTGGATGGCCATGCACAGGTTGTAATATCACATTATTACATCTTATCATCAGTATCAGAGGCAGTATTTGGAAACACTTTTGATAATTAACTAATTCTTTCATTTATGTTTTTAAATCAAAAAATGCCAAAGCTTTCATCACTGATATTAAAATATTACATGTGTTAGTTTTTGGACTATTAATTAGACATTTAAATATGTATTCATGTGCTCTTGGAAATTGTGATATGCATTTTTCACTTCATTTTTAAACAGTAAACAGACCATACAGTGTTTTCATTTAAATAATTACATTATTTGATAATATAAATGATAGATGAGTTGCAGCCTCTAGTTAAAACGTTAAGAATCAAGACTTTACACCGAGGCAAATCGTAATCCCAGCCTGATTTGTCTGCATATTGTCCCTGCAAGATATCAAGCTGATAATGCAAATCAGCTTTCATTTCTATGTTTGGTTTTTCATAAATATTTAGGTCTATGTGTCATAGCTGCTATTAAAGTATCACATCAGGCCTGCCGAGCCGGTCCCGGGCGGGGGGTGCGGCAGGTGCCTCCCCTGGCAGCCGCGTGTGTTTGTGCAGTGATTCACTCATTAGCAGGTGTGCTTACGCTGGGGAGGCTGTCGATTGAATGAGCCTCTCACCTGAGAGATCCACGCCTCCCATTAACACTGATTGTCTGTAATAATACGTGTGTCCAGAGGGACCCGTCCCCCAGGAGCACAGAGGCTCAGAGGAGGTCCCGCCTGAGCCTCTTAGAGACACGTAAATATGGTTAAAAAAAAGTCATAACTGGGTATGAGGAACCTTAAAGTTAAGATGAAACCATCACTTATACACCCTTTGATAAACAGAAAAATAATCTGTGGCAGATGTGATTATTCATTAAATAGTTAAGTCATTTTCAAGCAACAATGGCTGAAAAGTCCCGAAATATAGGAAAAGTTCTTCTGCTTTTCTCTGCTTCGTATCATTTAAAAAAGAGTTTTGACTTGATGGACTACTGGTCCAACAAAACAGGATCATTAAATAACTCATGTTGCGCTTAATGAAATTGTGATGAACAAAGTCATTGAGAAAAGAATCGGCAGATTAATCTAAAAGGATAAAAGATCATACGTTTTCTGTCTATAACCAGCATTCAGAGAAACACGATTGATCAAACTGATGATTTATTTAAAATCAAGATCAAAGGTTTTTTTTTTATAGTAGCTTTATTGATTACCATGACATCTCTTTCAAGTCATAAAACAATTGTACATCTAAAGGAAGAACACTGCGTCTCTCCCTGTGTTTTTCCACCACGATAGCCTCAGTGTTTAAACTGGTTGTTTCCATGGCGTGGAATTGTTTTCAGCAGCTGACTCACTGGGAAGAGAGAGTGTATTTGTGTGTAAGCAAAAGAAAGTCTCCTGATATTGTTTTTGTTACTTGGTTCACGGCTCATTTATTATGCGGGCCTAACTCAAGCTGACCCTTTCTCCAGGCTGTCAGTCAGTCACTAGACTCGGTGAACCAGGATCACACTTTGATCTGATCGTTTTTCATGTCGGGGTGTGGACGGTCACAGTAGTTGTTATTTAGAATGTGTGCACAATGATAGCTGGTTACCTAAAGTAATGTTTTATGAAGTTCCCAGAAGGCTTTCTATTCTGTCCATTGAAGTGAATGAGTGGTTGTTCAGGAAGGAGAATACAGCAGAACACTTTTATAGGCTCTCCTCCCCCCCCCCCTCGTCTGGCCTTAGGGCCCACTGGAAACCAGTTGGACTGGTTGAATCTGCCTTCAGCAGAGGAGGAAGAGAGGGAGAGAAAATAAGCACAAAGCCTGGATTGGATATCCAAAGTCTTGATTTCCTTTGGAGCTTTGTTTCGAATCAGTAATCCTGGTAGTTATTATTCTCAAAAAACGTAACACAAATGTTTTTCTACTCAAATGTTTATAATGAAAGGGATTAGCCTGGGACAAGCCATTGTAGACAAGTTCATTGTATTTACTTTCAAATGTGCCTTGCATGGCTTTACCATTTTAATGACACCCTCTGTTCTTACAAGTCCTCAATTTCTATTAGGATACACTCTACAAATAACGGTGCTGCAGGAAAAAAGAACAACAACAGCAACATGAACGCACAGACATGAAGGAGATGTTGTATGAACAGAGACGCGTAGTTTTGGACGCACTTTAAATGCATATGTTTTCTGATCTCATACAAGAAAGCTTGAACCAGCAAATGTCTTTAATAACTTTAAAAATGTGTGAACTTCAGCTCTCAATGGAACTGAAACAATAAATCACATACTCCATTAGTCAATCTATATAAAAATGGCCTTGCATTAAAGAAAAAAGCTGTTAACCATTTACTACTTATCAGCTTCTAGTCTTTAAATTAACCAGGAAACCTTTTGTAGTATTGGTACTCTTTGTTTTTGGCTAGAATCTGATCTTTATCTCAAATGAAAAAGGAAATGAGGACATCAAAAAGAACACAGATGGGAACTACACGGTTTACTTGTATATAAGCCCATTGATCAGCTTGCATGTCCTTAACATGAAAGCTATGTCAGTAAACCAAACTCTTTGTACCTCTTGTATTTTACCCCCCAAATGCAAATGAATCATTAATATTCATGTACATCATCTGATCCAATGTCAGCCATCTTCTTCCCCGAACTCCTTTGTATCCCTCAGTGCTGTGGTGGTCAGCAGAACCTGCCTACTCTCAGTTACACAAAGTATTTTTGAAGACTCGACAGTGAGAATGACACATAATGGCTTATTTGTGCCTGAGCGCGTTGTATGTGGCCCACTGCAGATCGTAGTGAGGAGATAGGCTCTTGTGTGGTGACAGCCGAGCCTTGTGTCCGTACAAAGCTCTCCATTTCTTCATGAACTCTCTGAACCTTTCTGTTTCCTGCCTCTGTCAGAGCCCGCTCATCTGCTGCTCCTCCTCGAGCCGGCCTTCAACTACACACTAATCCAGGGAGAGTCTCTGCCTCCCTACATCCGTCCCCAAACGTTTTTAGAGAGTCGGACGGGAAATACTGTTTTAAGCCAGAGACATATATCCAATTATTCCACATCCTTTTCCTAAATTACCGTCACTAATTATGTACTGCATCCAATATACGTTACGTCAGATCATCCACAACGTTTAACACTATTGGTCTTTTTCCTATTTTTCCTATTGATTAATCTTCTAACCTTTTTTTCTCTTCAAAATATTAGAAAATACTGACAAATACCCTGTTATCAGTTTCCACAGCCCAATGGGACATATTTGTTTTCCCCTGATAGTAAATAAGACAAATACATTTGGTTTTCTGTCATTTAGGTCAAATAAAAGCATTAATTCTTCACATTTGAGAAACTTGAACAAGATGATGTTTGGCATTTTTGTGTTTACAAAAACAAATCAAACAATTATTCATTATCTAGATCCTTTCTAAATAATTTTCTGTTTTTCAAATAAACCCTCTGGAAATAACGTTGTGCACTTGTTCGAACAATTTACGTGACGTGCCAAGTAGCACTCATCTGCATCTCTACTAGTGGTATAGAGAAATATTAAAGACTTGCTCTATAAGCTTCTTGTTCTGGTCACTCTTTTCTTTTAGATCTTTTTATGATTTCACATTTTATTTCAGGGATCCTAAACCGAGGGTCTGACTCGCAGTTATTTGTAGATGTGGTATGTCGTTAATCCAGACCCCTCTTTCTCTCTCCAGGAGTTTTATGACCATGCAAAGTTCCTCTGGCTTGACGAGGGTGTGCGGTCCTGCTGGGATAGGTCTAACGAATATCAACTCATCGACTGCGCTCAGTAGTAAGTCTCTATGTTTTGAAATATCTCCTGTTATATCCCTTTGTTTTACTTCCATACGTACTGTGCAGTCAAACATGAATATAAATGAAGGACGACACAAAGACATGCTTCATTTTTCTCTCTGTGACTCTTTACACTTATACCGACATTGTGGGACATTTGGTTGTTTTGGTATGTGGTCACTTTGAGTGCAAACGTGTGTCTGTTCTTACTAGTGCGTTACAGCTTAGTGGATAAACTACAGTGTGCGTTGTGGCTCATTTTAAGGCACCGTGTAGTGCTGGTGATGGCAACACGTCCACAACTATTGGATGGATTGCCATGGAATTTGTACACAGGATCTTCTCATCGGATTTATTGAAAATAATACAAATATAGTTTATCACCAGATTTATCTTTTTAATGTGGAGTCAGCAACTCTGGAGAAAGATATTTGAACTCAACGCCCAAACAAATACCCGCCTCCTAATTCACCCTCTCCTCCCACTGCCTTTGTCTTCATTCATCTTTGGTCTTTCCGTTGTTCTGTACGTGAGCATGAACGCCTCTTGTTGCTAATTGACTGGATTGCTGTCGTGTGTCTCAGTCCGATCCACTTCTTTGTTTCGCATTTACAGAGGGCCATATCAAAACACCAGATTTGTTTTCAGCGCACACAGAGAGGATTTTTTCTTGATTTGTTTACTCTCCCTTTTGCTTTGTTGCATTCTGCTTGAGCAGTTGCAAAAGTGTACTCTAAGTAGACTTCTCAGTTAGGTTGCAGTCTGTTTAGCAGTATGGCCCAACACCTAAGACACCGACCTGGTGGTTAGCGTGTCTTTGGTTTCTGTCAGCGATTTCCTCCTCGCCCTGCTGACCCTTGTCAATGTGCTTTTGTTGTGTGTATTGAAATTATTTGTCACAAAGGCTGAGATATGATATTTTTTCCCAAAACATCTTCAGCGCTCTGAATCTCCCTTGGCCCTGTTCTCCCTTCCCGGTTTCCAAACTCTTCCTTTCTTTCTTTCTGGTATCTTATCCGCCTTTTGATCTCAGTCAGGCCTGCCTCTGCTATAAGGCATGCAGTGGTCACATGGAGCCAGAGCTCTTGGAGGGCGGAGTCTCGCCCACTCTCTCTCTTGTGTGCATGCTTGTTTGTGTACAGTGCATGTTTGAGGTAGATGTGTTTTTGTATATGTCACTTTATGCAGTGGTGGAAGAAGTTCTCAGACCCGTTATAAGTACCCTTATCTGTGACAAGTCAAAGTCTGTATTTGAAAGTACATTAATTTTTCCAGCAAAATGTATTAAAAGTCCATATTCTGCAGGAAAATGTGAGTACCATGTTATTAGAGTATGATATTATAATAATGGTCTATACATTTTTTTGTAACATGACATTGGTAGCTGATAGCGGCAGTTAGTTTGAACTACTTTATGTAAAGTTAGGAAGTTTAGTCCAGTTGTTCCCAACTGGCTCGGGCCCTTCATATTTCCTTTGATATTTAGCTTTTCTGGCAACAATAATTTAAATGAAACCATCTGAGAATTTCAGCACGACACTCACTCTTTGGTGAACCTGCTTAAGGACATCTGAAACAGACAATGTTTCTTTGTAAGAGGTAACAATCCAAACTCATGATTTAAGACATTTTAATAGAATACAATAATAGATGTATACAAACAATTATTCCTCTCAATCGTCACTTTTAACCCTCTAAAAGGGTGTGGTGATGATTTCTGCTTGGATTTTCAAATGTTGCTGTATTTTTGGGTTTTGTCAAATCTATAAAAGGTCGTTTTCAGGTGCCAGATCAAAGCACGCATCCCGACAGCGAAACTATGAAAATGCTCCAAAAATACCTAAATTATGAGGTGAAAAGCCAAGCGGCTGAAATCGGAGGTTGGTGTTTTCATATGATGGTTGTCAACTTTGAATGTTATTGTTATTTTTGTGTTTGAACTTCAACCTACCTTTTAATAAGCTATTTTAGTGTATCCCTTGCATGTTGTGTAATTAGTCGTGTGTTTTTTTTAATGTAAAATCTTAATCTGAAAACAAACAACACCAGCTAAAAAATAAATGTAGTAGAATACAAAGTACATTACTCCCCTCTGAAATGTAGCAGTATTTGTAATATAAAGTAGCAGAAAATGGAAGCATGGCTCAGGCAGGGCATTAGCCAAATGTTGAATAAATGGTTAAAAATATGCAAGTGGCTACTAAAAAACATTGGTTATCTATTAAATGGTTGGGGAAATTTGAACATACATTATCAATTTGGCTGGTTGGCAATAAAGTACATTTTGCACCTTGACTGGGACTGTACTCGTGTCCTTGTCACTTAAACTGCATGCATTGCCACAGGTGTTGTGTGGCCTATATGTGGGTTACTTTATGCAGGTACATGTGGAGGGGGGGGGTGGGGGGTAGGGAGACACGGTGGAGGTCAGATGATCATGGCAAAGCTTCCTGGTTATAAATGTGATTGTGGATGGAGAGAGTTGCGAACCAAAGGAGAGACGGAACAATTTAAAAAGAGGTTTGAAGAGATGGATGGAAAGAGAGGGCTTCCCTGCATTGCGGGATCTCTCCTCTCCTCTCTTCTCCTCGTCTCTCCTCTCCTCGTCTCTCCTCTCCACTCCTCTCCTTGTCTCTCCTCGTCTCTCCTCTCCTCATCTCTCCTCTCCTCTCCACTCCTCGTCTCTCCCCTCCTCCCCCCCAGCAGCCCCAGTGTTATGGATCAGATGCTGGGCTGGGTGGCCAGACCGGAAGTGCTCCCCTCCCCCCTCTGTGTGCTTATGTAAACGGAGAAGCAGAGAAAGAGAGAGGGGAGAGCTATTTTTAACCCAGGCAGGCTGCAGAAGGAGAAAGAATGAGCGAGTGTGTTAGGAGAGAGACAACTTCAGCATTATTGATGAAGGTTGTTAGCATTAAATGAAAATGTCAAACCTGGATCAGCGCTGGGACAACTCGAGGCCACACAATACACCCCCGTTTCTCCCTTTTTCAAAACAAACACACATTTGGTCATGCGATTAGTTTCATGGTAGAATACAAAAGGGAAGATGAAGTTGACGGGCGGTGATGCTTTTTTGTCTGATGAGAAGTAGTTTAGTGAAGCTTCCCTGACCGTTTCTGCCTCGTCATGCTCCTACAGTATCATGTGTTTTTGTTGTTTTTGATCTTCCTGACACCTTATATGGTCACACACTTTGTTTGCAAGGATGTTGTTGTCCTTGATTACATGTGGATCTGTTGTGTTCGGTCTGCTGCTGACGATTCACGTATAAAGTCCAAACAAACTTGACTGTGTCCGCTAACAGGACGGAGGCCAAAGCGTTTGTTTTGCCTCCGAAAGAAAGACCTGACAAACCAGGTTTGTAGGTCTCATCCATATTGAGAGAACGTTGTCAACTTTGTCTTGAAACATTCTGGCTGCTCTCCCTGATTGTAAATCACTACTGAGACTCTAAAAATAAGTGGTTTCTTTTCAAGAGTCGTGCATAATTGACATAAATAAAAACATGATCATCTGTAAATATAAGTCTACCAACCTTTCCTTTTTTTTTATATATTCTAATATATTTGATCAATTATATATTTTTTAATTGAGTGCTTTTAAATGGACCTCTAAATAACTATTTCAATAGCAAGACATTCTGTTGAGCTGTAATATGTTGGTTACATACATGATGATGCATGAATGACATATTTAACATGAAGACATTTATGACTGTAGCTGCTTTGACAGATTCGGACCTGGTTGACAAATACATGTGATTTTTAAATAATTGAAAATGATTATAAACTTTGTAGACAGATTCTATTTGTGGGGGCACCGCACCAACATTTTAAATTAAATTAAAAAAAATGTAATTTTTATTTTTAGATCTATTTGTGGCGGACGATATTTAATTGTGGCGGCCCGCCGCAAATGAATCAATGTATGGGAAACACTGCAATTATATACACTATGAGTAAAATAAATATATACCATATGTTATATTATCGATTGCTTATTTAAGTTATTTTCTCCTAACAAAAATATAACAAAGTCCTTAGTTCTAGACAAAAACTAATTTGGCACATAACCCACCCAACAAACCACAATGGCTTTGCTTATACACTTTGTTCATTGTAAGAAACAAACAAACAAGGTGACATGTTGTAATTAGTGAGCTTTGGAGGTACTATAGGCAGATGTTGTACCTCTTGGACAGCCACGCTAGCGGTTTTGCCCTGTTTTCAAACTTAATGCTAAGCTAACCAGCTGATGGCATAACATAAATGATTCTGTCGTTGACGTTACCACCGCACTGTTAAACATGTTTAATATTAAGCTGGTTAAAGTTCTGTGTTTGTTTGACCCATCTATCCAATCCTCCTCCCTACGCTAAAGCAAATATATTAAATCATTTGACAAGAAATGCATACATTACATTTAGCTGACGCTTTTATCAAAAGTGACATACAACAACAAGTGCCTTCAACCACAAAGAAAGAAACTCCAGAGCAAATGGTCTCCTTTTGAGAATACAGCACACACTCTCTGTCCAGCTGATTCATCAGAAAGTCATTTATCAAAGGCCCAACGTCCGTTCATTGGAACCGGCTTAAATATGAAAAGTTGTTTCTTTGTTTTGTTCGGCTCAAACACTCACAAATAAATAAATACAAATGTTAAGAATGTTAAGTTGTGGATATAACTATATTTCGACCCCTTAATAGAGTACATTTAGTTTAACTCTCATAAACCCAGCACAGCTTATAAAGCTAGCAGTGGGTTTCCTGATTGTACTTTCTAGGCCTTACACCAAGTTATAATTAAAGGATTCAAACAAACTGTATCCGACTTAATCAATTCATACACGGAAAGATCATATTTTTCAAAACTCTCCATAACCAGGTTTAACAGAAAATTAAGAATAATATATTTTGATGAAAGAAGGAACATGACTGGACGTCCCTTACATTCCGTTTCTGGGTCTGTTTGTGACGCCTCGCTGTGATACCAGCT